CAAGTGTTTACAATCCAGGAAACAGACTTTAAAAATGACATTGATTTTATGTTTCCAGAGTTTTCACTACAGTGAGAGTCCAAATGAGCTGGCTGTATGAGCGCTAAGATAACTGTGTTTGGAGTTTATACATACTTAGCTTATTCAATTACACATTTATGAATAAACATAAAGCTGCACAAACAACAGGTCAATTGAGACGAATGACAACAGGGTAAGGAAATTAAAGCCATTAGATAACTTTTCAGAAAGTTAAACTACAAAAACAACTGGAATAGTTTACACGTTGGTGTTCCAGAAATATTGGTAAAATGCATAGGCAGATAGCCACCTCATATTTCTTTGTGCCATCTCACATTAGGCCTGGATCAACTGATTCTGAGCTGAAACCCAACGTTTGCAATCGAACACTTTATACTGATAAGTTCCCACGACTCCAAAATAAAAGGACTTGTGGGAAACACGTTTAACACCTGGTTCTGTCTGACAGGTCAGGCGACTGATAACGTGACCCTAGACCCTTTGCTTCAAATAGCTTCAATGTTGCTGAGCAACAACCGAGCACATTATAAAAATACATCTTGTGAAATAACCTGTGATCCTAAATGCGGACGCTGACAACTGAAGAACAAAACAACCCATCAAAATACATTTATTTATACTAATCTATACTGCTACAACTATCGAGTGTCTCCGTGTGTGACCTATTGCACTCGTAACACAGAGGACATTTCAGCTGCTGAGCTACACGGCAGAACCGAAAGCCAGGCCTTTATAGGAAGCTGCCAGTTACTGTACATAGTGCACATGACAAATCTATGACCACATGCTCTGACAATGAGCAGCGTCTAATAAGAGTTGTTTCAGAGAAAATTACAGAGAGGATGAATGTGCTGCCACGCCTCATCTCACTGCCAGAGTTCTGGGTGTCTAATGCCAACACAAGGGAACCAAGGCTATCTTTATCGGTGTCTGATGTCAAAGTCAAACCAGCTGTTCCAGGCTGCATCAGCGCGACATAAATTGAATTTTTGAGTAATCCTTTGAAGAATGCATCTGTACGCAGGAATTAATTTTGTTGTCTTAAAATAGGAGTATTACTTTGTAGGACCTCACAATCCCTTTAATATTGAGTGACACAGTGGGGCCACATGCCGTGACACACGTCACAGAAGAACATATACAAAGTGTCCAGCAGTTGCTTTTTATGAATCTGTGGTGAGCATTGGGGGCCAAATGTATATATCTGTAAAACCTCTTACTACTCCACAATAAGACAAGTAGGAAAGCTCTTGGTAAAGATTCAAAGCCAATTGATCAGCCTTGTGAGGAAGAGAGAGACCAGCATGCTACTGCAATGCCTTTTACATCCTCTTCCCCCTGTGTTCAGGCTGTTCTAGCAATGAATCATTTCTCATCAGGTCACAAAAAGGCCTGTGTTTGTATCATCACCTAGACCTGAGATATCCTAGTGAATAGAGGATCAAAAACTGTAACGGGTGTTTCATTCTGATGCATTTTAGGTCTCTAAATGTAGGAAAGATAAGCATTATGGACTTCTTAAATAAGTCTTTCTTCCATTTTTCTAGTTGGTTAAAATATATGCTTTATGAGAAACCTATGAAATTTGCTTCGGATATGAGGCAATAAACACTGATAATATGATTATGCGAATTATACAAATAGGTATTCTGTATTTTTGGACTCTTGGTATTGTGGATCTGGTTGATATTGATTTGTGGTGACTTGTAAACCCATGCAGGCTACGTATTAGGGCTGGGCGGTATGACCAAAAATGCACATCACAGTATTTTGTAAGATTCTGGCGGTTTCACGGTATTTTTTTTCCCGCGTTAAAGCATTAATTAATTAACGCCAAAGAGGTGAACAGCTGTTTGTGTGGCGTGTCTTCCGTTCTGTCACTTCCTGTTTCCTTCACCTACATTCCCCTGGGTCCTAAGCCCCTCCAAGTACAGCTTCTTATCACCCTCTATGTACCAACGTACATTTATAACAAATACCACACATATTGCACGGTAATCAGCGTTGCATTGTGTCTAACCAAAATACCTTTTGTTGTTCAGTCTTTGTTCATCCTGCATCGCTCTTTTCTGTTCTTTAATGTAACATTACTGGAGCGACAGAGCCTCTCCCAGCTGTTAGCAGACTGTTGTTAGCGAGTTGTACCCAGCATGCAGTTCGGCGTTGAAATTTTATAAATGTACAATTATTAGTGTTACAAATTGTTTATGTGTCACAAACTGTTGTGTCGTGGTGTTTTACCCTGTTAAAGAGCGTTAGTTGTGGGTTGTTAATTGTTGTTATAAAGTTATAACCATGACTAGGGGTCCCTCTCAATATACTTAAGACAACTAGCTCCGACTGTAGCGCCCTCAGCGGCGAATAATATATTTTGCTGCCTGTTGAAGAGCGACAGAAGTTGTTTGACAACCGGTATACCACCCAGCCCTACTAGTATAGTTATCTACATTACACAATATAAAATAAGAGGATCATCTTCAAGACACAATTGCCTTTGCTCTAGCCCTCCAGCCCTGGTGTTCCAGTCAGAGAGAGTGATGTCTCACCAGTGACCACTTGAACGTCTTTAGCGTGTCAACAGCATGTCGAAGGCGGAGTCTCTAAGAGCACGTGCCTCCAGTTGTCTGGCTGTCACCACACTCGCTACACTCACAACTTCTTATCTTGACAGAGCCCTCCAACAGACACACAAAACATTGTTTTAGCCTTTTAACTGCTTTGTGCAGTTTCAATTCTATAATCGAAGCAGCCCAAAGCAAAAAAACATGATTTACATTAAGACATAATAAGATCTGCCCCACACGGACTGAAAGGAGCAGCCAGAGTGGCAGTGATAGGCTCGGTTCAGACACTCCCACCTCTCATACCACACTAATTCTTGGGCGAGGCCTGAACATTTGGAAAGTATTTGCCTAACAATCACAGCATATGCCTTCAGACATGGAGGCTCCACTGTGATAGTGCAGAGTGGACAGCCCCTCAATGCCTTTGATCTGGTTGGCTACTCAGCAGCCCCTTGTGGCAAGCCTTAGAAAATAGAGACCCCAGAGGATACATTAGGGCCAACTGTGAGAAACTAGAAATTGAAATCTGTAAACGGTTGGGATGGATAAAATAAACTGATTAAAGCCCCTGAGTGTGGGATTTAAAATATGTCCAACTTTGGGGTGGGGGGGGGGGGGGGGTGTTAGAATTAAAGTAAGACACTGCAGCAGACAGCAAATGTTGTTTATATTCATTATATTCAAATACACGAGTAGGCCATGACAGTGTGCCAGAATGAACAATACCAGGGCCCTGAAATAGAACCATCACCAACGACGATGAGACCCACTATAGGAAGGAGGTCAGCCTTCTGACCACATGGTGCAGAGACAACAACCTCCTTCTGAATAACAGCAAGACCAAGGAGATTGTTGTTGACTTCCGGAGAGGCCACACTCAACACCCACCACTGACCATCAATGGTGCTGATATAGAGAGAGTGAGCAGCACCAAATTCCTGGGGGTGGACATCAGTGAGGACCTCTGGTGGACAGCCAACACAACATCACTGGCAAAGAAAGCTTAGAGGCGCCTCTACTTTCTCCGCAAACTGAAGAAGGCAAGAACACCACCACCCATCATGTGCACCTTTTACCGAAGCACCATTGAGAGCATCCTGACAAACTGTATCATTGTGTGGGGCGGAAGCTGCACTGACTACAACAGGAAAGCCCTGCAGCGCATAGCGAACACAGCTGGAAGGATCATTGGTGCCTCACTCCCCTCACTGCAGGACATATACGACACTCGCCTCACCCGCAAAGTGACCATGATTGTGCGCGACTCCAGCCACCCCTCACACAGTCTCTTCAGCCTCCTGCCCTCTGGGAGAAGATAACGGAGCCTCCGTGCTCGCACCACCAGACTCTCAAACAGCTTCGTCCACCAGGCTGTTAGGAAGCTGAACTCTCTGAACTCTCTCCCTCCTCTCTTTTAAGACTCCCCATGTTCAACTGCTGCTAAATACAGATTTTTTTGTTTTTTTTTCTCTTATTATATATATATATATATATATATATATTGTCTAAATGTTTTTTTTAATCTATTGCACCGCATTCACTTTATATGTTTATATGTTTGACTAGAGAGAAACGTCTTTTCAACTCCCCTGTATGTCCAGTACATTGTGGAATTGACAATAAAGCAAACTTTGAACTTTAGAAGCTATCTGTTACTTAGACCGGTGCTTTTTATACTAGAACATGTTAAAACGTCTTCTGTGAAAAAAAGCCTATTGGCACGGTTTGTGTGCATATATAATGTAGGTATAGGTATACTGTATGTTATGGTTAACAGTGAAACTCAAACAGGTCCTCATTTCCTTGGTCAAAGCAAAGTAAACAAGCAAGTGTCTGCATGCTTGTTGTTAGGGCGGTTATTAACTAGCTTGACAAACTTCAATCCAAGCTATTGTGTTGGAATGCATTTGATTAGTACAGGTGTACCGAAGAAAATGGTAACTGTGTGCGTACAGTCTACTAAAACACAATATAACCATTTTAACATATGTGATGAAGATGAATTTGGGATTAAATTACATTCAACGTGCATTGCAAATAATGCTATATTCCCCTTCTCTACCTGCGCATCAGACTTTACTGCTAATACCTGTTGCAAAACCAACGAAGCTTAAGAAGGACTACGATTTTGCAACACACCCTTAAGTCACAGGTACCTCAGGTGGCTCCAGGAAGAAGGCTGATACTGTGGGATACGCCTTACTTTTGATGTTATTAAGAGCAGCCTTACATGGTTGCCCCGTGGCATGATCTTGTAAGAACCTCTGAATCTTGTTTAAACATGTAAAACTGTTTCAGTTTGGATAAGGTGTTTTGAATTATGTCAATGGGCTGCGTGATAACAGTTTAAATGTTGTTCAATGTCTTAATTGACCATTTCAGTCGAGAACTTGCCTTTTTCGTACTGACAGACCTCCGTAGCACCCTGCCATTGGGTCCGGTCACTCTGGTATTACTGCTACTGCCCGAGGGCAGAGTGCTGGCAGACAGGGGGCTGGAAGGAGTACCAAGAGGAAGGGGCTTCTTCTCCGCCAGGTTCCTCTGGGATGCCACGTTGTTGTTCTCGTTGAAGGTCAGCGACCTTTTGTCCTGGCCGTCCCCACAACTCAGTTCAATGTGTTGTCCGCTTTTGATTATGTCAAGATAGTCTTTGAGCAGTGACTGGGTTGCAGTGTCACTCAACCAGTTGAGAAACAGCTCATCCACTTTCATCTTCAGAACTGGCTGGAGGACTTGTGGTGACGGCATTTTTGCAGGATATCGCTGAACGTAACGCTACCTGTGCAGAAATATAAGAGTTAATACCACAGCACACCACCCGGGGTCTGTAATTCAAGCACAACCCTCAATGAATACGGATACACTGTATAACCGACGAGATGATCAAGTTATTGTAAATGCAGTGACTGAAAATAACACTTGTAATTGCTTAGTGTCAGTCTTCCTTGCTTTGAGTGCACAACAAAACACCCACTGACGTTATTGAATTTTAACGCGAAACGTCAATGCCGTAGCCCACAGGCAAAAGTAAACATCAACACATATTGACCCCGGGTATCGTTAGCTATTTTTAAAAACTCCATTGTCGGAAACAGAGCTGCTTAAAGCCAGTATATACTTAGCTAGCGTCACTTAGCTGTCAGGCTAACGTTAAACACGAGAAGCCAGGGCTTACAGAGTTAGTCCATGTTGATATGAGATGATTATATTAGCAACACTTGTTAGCTACGATAGCTCTAGCAAGCTAACGTTAGCCAGTAATTCAGGTACCAACCTTGGAGTGAATGCACGTTAAAGCCAAATGCGTTGAAGTGACTCTACGTTACTTCCTTCATCCGCGAAGCTGTTGCACGCTTATCTGTTTACCTGAATTACAAAAGCAACGCTGTACCTCCTGCGTTCATTCCGCTGAGCGAAAGCAAAGCACACAAGTGCTACTTCTCAGGCTCTCGTTCCCCTGGTAACCACAAGGTGTTAACGCGAGATCTTGTGCAGGGTGAGAGTTCATCCTCTGGTTCATCTCAGCACAACGCTCCATTTCCTCCAACAAAATGTACTCTCACCGCCCACCTGTTCAGAGAAAAAGCCTGCTTCACTGCTCGCTGCGGTGTGTACAAATATATTTCTCCACTCTGTCATTATTTCTGCAGCTACAGTTTCCCTTATTATAAGCCTCAGTACTCAGTGGGGAAAAATAGCATTGCCGCGGTTTAAAATACATCCAGTTCTGCTAGCAAAATGTTTTAAAATGATAGAAAATATAGTAATAAGTAGGCTGCAGAATGGCCCCTGAAAGTATTGCATTAGACTCACGTTACTACTACTAGGCATAATGCCACAACAACTACTACTTCTACTAGCCTACAACTTGTAATGGCAGCTGGTCGAGGTAGAGACGTTTAACAAATTCAAGTTTGGCAATTTAACCTGTAACAATCTGTCATATTTTATAAACTTATGTGTATTTTATATCAAATCTTAATTTTTTTAAGTAGTAAGTAGCTTTTAAGTAAATGTAGTGGGGTAAAAAGTAGTACCATATTTCAAGAAGTAGTAAATTACCTCAACATTGTACTCAAATACAGCATGCTTGATATACTTAGATACACTCCACCTCTGCATGTACTAAGTACATCTTGCATGAACACATGTCTATGACGACACTGATGTATGATGCAGGCATTCTTAATTTTTTTTGCAAGTTGAGACATACTTACCTTAATGAAAACAGTTATATTCATACATTGTGTTGCTGCAAACCATGTCTCCTACAAAATTACCACCTTTTGTCAATTCATGACTGTTTTCTGCAATGCACAATCCAGATCAACTGGGTCATCACTGTGGGGCTCCTCTCCAGGAAACTAGCCCCGTGTGACCAATTTGGCCTCTTATGAACTTGATCCTGACTCTCTGTGCATGAATAACAATGACACATCTGCGCCTGATTCCACCCTCTCTTCTCTCCTCGCAGCCTTACTCATCGAAGCAGCTGGGTCGAGCACCTGGTGTGTGTATGGAGCTGGACATTCTTATTGATTTCTGTGTGTCCCAGACTTCGTGGCTCCCCCACCGCACCCCCCCACCGTAGAAAACAAGCAACACAAGTATAGAGGTCAGTCAAAAAATAATGGAGGCCATATTTGACACCGGGGTCAAAAGAATGGAGTGGAATGATTTCAGCTGTGCGGACTCTGTATCTCACGTTGAATCCAACCATCAACATATATGCATATTTTAGAGATGAAGAAACCCATTTTGGTCGCACTTGAGTGGCCAACATGTAACATGAAAATGACTGAGACCCATTTCATGATCACAGAGTCAGGAAATGAATGCTACAATAACAATTTCACTTGGAATTTCTTTGACTTAGCATTGCAACCAAAAACAACAACTTGATTACTTCATGTCTGTGTGAACATAGTGTTGCTGGGTAATTATACCTATTATGCAGGCAACATAACAAAATGGTCTAGACCAATCTGTCCCTTTTGGCAATGACAGATTATAGCCCCAAACAAACCTTTTCACATAATCTTTTTTTCTGTGTGTAAAATGTAATTATTTGTTGCTAATGCTTCTATTGTCTTTTACGTTACTGAGATGCGAAGCGTTAGTTCTTGATAAAGACCATCACACAGTTGTATGTTGACCTAAAAAAAAAGAAAATTACCTGACATGTACGTTATTGATGGTATGGTATATTTTCACCATGAAAGACATTTAGGACACTTCTCACCCGAAACCTCTATCTCGCTAATAAACCACATTCCAAGTGCCTGCGGACTCTCAAGAGCAAATTAATGGCTGCTGCGCAGTTGGGAAAATTATTGACCGAATTCTCCTGATTGCTTCCCTTGATAACGCCTGTAAATCAAATCTAAAACATTCAAAGTTGTCTGAGGCCCGGCAAGTAATGAGAAACCTCTTTGTTCTGTGTTTCGGAGCCTAATCAATATCAGAAACGAGAAGAGAGAGAGAAAAAAAAAGTGAAGGTCTCGAAACTTTAAACTGTGCAACTTTTCAAAGTGTAATTACAGTGTACAAATAGGATTTTACCCAAAGCAGTGTGCATGTTGTTGTTTTCACGCCTTGAAGGACATTTCAAAGGTTTGGCCGAAGCTGAAACCACAGGGGGACAGCTGGTTAGCGTAGGAAAGTGTTAGTGAGGAGTTCATGTGTGCAGCTCTCCCTTACTGCTGTCAGCTATGCTATACGGGCGCTCTGTGAAGTAGGCGATGAGCAATCTGCTCTAATAAGGAGAGTGAATAAAGTTGAAAGTGTTGTCTTGTAGCTGTGCTCTGTAGAGAGTTATTTAGACCGCATTATAGTCCATGTACATAATAGAATAGGCGATTATTTTAAGGTTTAACTTTGTTTCACATTGTGCAAGTCAGATACAACTTTGTTCTATTTGTTTCAGAAAGAAACATTCATTTACGGATTCAGATTCTAGGTTTTTTTATCGACTGAAGTCGACATCAATTGCACCACAGTTAAGAAGTTACCTAATTGAACTGTAACTTTTCGCTTTATCCAGCTGTAATAACAACATTTATTTAAACATAGATGGATGGTTTCAATAGTACTTTGGCAAATAATTTCCCCTATTACTCATTACATTCTGACATTCAAACAAAATGGACTCCCAGATGGTTGTCATTGCAAAAGGTTTGGGATCCTTTGATTCCAGTCCAAGCCTTTATATCTTCATGTGATTGCGGGGATTCTGGCGCTGCTAACCTTGAAGTTACAAATAGCCCGTCTGTAATTTTCATACGAAAGGTACTTTTCTGATTAAATCTCCTGTTTAAAAGCGGACATAAAGATCACACGGTGACATTCTTTTGAGCTGGCTTTGACACATTTGTCTGAGCTGGTCCTTCAGCCGGTGTTCCAGCAAATCTTTGTGCCAGACATACAGTAAGTCAAACCACAGTCATGCATTCAAATATATTATTGTTCTCTTCTGAATATTAAAACATCATCTTAATAGTTTTAACAGATTTCCCCCCAATTTTGTTTAAAACAAAATGGTTGGACAAAAATGTAAAATAAGATTTTGACTTGTACTCTGGAACATCCTTGTAAAATTGAACTAGTTTTTGCAGGATGATTTTGGGATTCATATCTCTGTTCTGAATATACAATTGTATGTGACACTATTCAGTTTATGAAAAAGGCTCAGAATTTATTTCAGTGTGGATCCATTTTTTTAAAATTGTGAGTATAGTTATACAGTTGTACAGTATGAAAATATTAAATTCTGTGGATATTCAATGCTTCCTTCCTAGAACAACCTGTCACACACTGTTAAGGAAACTCTTATATAATTCCTTACACACATTTTGTTCATTTTAAAACCCAGATGGGATTCGCACTTGGTACGTTCAGAGAGGGATTATTCCTCTTTAATTGGAACACAGAGACAGGAACTACACACACAAACGGGCATGTCGAGTATAGAGATGTCATTTTAAACCTCTTGATTTTAACTGTTGGTTTACTACAGCTCACTGACCTCACAAGTCAAACGTCCTTCCCATTACACGATCACAAGTGAAACCTACGTCAGCTAATTACATTAACTGTTGTCTTTAGGCTTGTTTGCATTGGACCTTAAAATATCTCTGTAAACTGTGAATGTATGTAAAAGTGATATTGGCGCAGACAACAGCTGACAGTCACCAGTGAGCATTCAGGGCCGCATGTTTTCATCTTCCGCTGTCGTCTCTTTCTCTCATCCAGACTGTGCAGAGAAAAATAATCGGAGGCTCCTTTTGAATTATCTTATTTTCAGGCTGGTAACTATAGCGGAACACAGTTTTTTTAATAGCATATTGCTGTTTGCATTAAAATGCTGATACAATTTTACCTGGAAATGATGTTGATGTGTTGACCGCTAATAGACTTTCCCATTGAGTTTTAGCAACAAAAATTGTGCAATTTGTGGGTACAAGTGACAATTGTAATTACTATTTTGTACAACCCGACTCTTAAATATAACGTATTGCTTATTTCCAGTACATTTTTCATAGTTTCTGCTAAATAGAAGCAACAGAGAAACTACCTAGGAGCCCACTTTATGTTTCACATACTTTCTTCACAATTTGTAAACTGCATAATATAGAAGTTTTAAAAATGTCCCAAAAGTAAATTTTAATATGTTTTCAATCATTATCCAATTTCGTTATCCCTTACAAGATATTTTAGAATGTTTAGTTTAGAAGCTGAAGACAATGAACTTTTAGTCAGTTGCATGTTGCACTCTGGTCCATAATTTCACATGTTTGGTTTTGCCCCTGCCCATCTCAAAGTCAGTGCACACCACTCCTCCCAACTTAAGAAGCCGGATAGATTTTTAGATATTTCTCTATCTGTCTGATTTCCAATAATAGCCCGACATTGTTGAAATAACTGCTAGCATAAAGTAACAGTCTTACAAGAATGTAGCTGCTCTAGTGATATTTGTTTGACCAGAAACGGCTTTGATCTCGGTCTTAAACATTCTCCGTTTGATACGGCTTTCAAAATGAACCCGCGGCGTGAACCTCAGTCTCCGCCTTCCCAAAAAAAAAATGGCACCGGGTAGTGATGAGCCTTCTCGTGGCTCTTTCATGGCTACACTGTAAACACGCGCCACTGTGGTTTTTTTCTTTTCTTATTTCTTGAGAAAAAAAATAACAGGCAAGAGAATCAAACTGTCTTCAGTCAACATTTAGATTCCTAATACGCCGCGCGAATAAAACGAGCCGCAGAGGAGAGGAGGAGACTTCTTTCATTAAGGCACTTCACTGACGCTCTGAAGTTTGCTCCCTCCATCTGAGATGACTTTAAAAGAGAAACAATGCCTCTGCCTGTTGGGGTCTTTGGAGACATTCTCTCTCATCACGTATTAATGAAAGAGGTGGCATGTATGGAGTTGGAGAGCTGGAGCGAGGAGAACCTGGTTTGTGAGCAGCTGCCTTTACGTTAACA